TATAGAAGAACGCGTAAAAGTGATAGGTGACATCAATTAATTCTAATACTTCTTAACAAGCGTTTGATTGTCTAGTATTGAATCAAGGTTAAAGCATAGATATGAAACTTTACAGAAAAAAACAGCCGTGCAGTATGCACGGGATCTCGCTAGTTTCTCCACACTGTAAAAAATAACCGTAGTAGAATAAACCCTCAAAAAAGGGTTTATGATCATCAAAAACCCTGCATAAACGTCTCATATACCCTTTTATGGTATATAAAATTCCATCAACCCTTCGAAGGGTTGATGAAATTGTATATACCATAAAAGGGTTTATGAAACGTTTATGCAGGGTTTTTGATGATCATAAACCCTTTTTTGAGGGTTTATTCTACTACGGTTATTTTTTTACAGTGCACTATTGTCCAGTTCTGTTTCAAAGTTTCAATAATATACCAGACAACACTTTATCGCGAATGACAAATTGTAAAAAATAGAAGAGTACATGGATCTTATGAGCAACTTAAACACGAATCTTTCACTTAGTAAAAGCTAGCTCCAATAATATCCATTTACTGGTAGCGAGATATTATGCATTTGAAATGATTCACCTTAATGGTCGTTTCGCAATTCGTTATTTATCTAGTAGTTGATCTAGTTGATTATTACTCTGTTTGGTCGATCTTTAACGTTATACTAGCATTCTCGTGAAAGATGATTAAAACTGATTGATTGAAGACTATACTATTTCTACGGAGTGAAAAATGAGTAAAGTTTTCATTTTTTATCACAAAAACCAGATTGAAAAAGGTCATTTTCAAAATTTTAAATTAGTAAAATACTGATCTCTACCGACCCAATGGACCTTTCCAAGAGGACTGCTTTCAGCTCTGATTTTATGATTGATCCATAGGAAATGTGAATTTGTTTTCAAAACTGTTGCAGACATTTCGATTAAGAAGCAATTTCAACAGAATGTTGATTTTGCAGAAAAATTCATGAAATTTTGACTCTAATGAAGGGGTCACACTAAAGTTGCACTCGTAAAATCTAGACATAACTATCGCATTAGTTAAAAGGGAATAATTCAAAAGAACTATGAAAATTATTGGGCTAATTCGTAAGGAGGTCGAAATGTGAGTTTAGTTCATTGGTAACAGTACGAAAGGGCTAACTTTGTCAGGTTATTCTATGATTATTTTCTTCAGGATGATGAACGAATTCAGAGCTTTTGAGTTTGAACGCAGTGTACTATAAATGAAGATACAGAATGTAGAAGTAATGCTGCAAGTTTCCACCGTTTAAGTGAGATTTGAATCGTTCGGCTTTAACAACCTTTCATCTAGTTTAGCAGGAAGTGAAGCTCCGATTTGAGTTGTTGCCCATCTGTTGTGTTTTCTAAGTTATGTGGATTACTGATTGGAACTACTTTAATCATTTTAATTTTCGTTTTCTATATAGAATAATTTTAAGTCGAGTTTTTGAATTAGGCTTTGTAGCTTTCTATTTTGTATGAAAAAAGTTTGTGGAAAACTATATATTACGTTCTAGAGGGCTGCTTCGATAGAAATGCCGAAGGTTGCTTCCAAAACGAAGGGAATATTTTTGTCAAATTTTACAGAGTGGCTTTAAAATACGGCAGTGCCATTTTTATAGGAACCAAACACACAGCAATAATGCAGGCATAAACTAAGAATAGCCCTGATGACTAATCGAGACTTAAATTTGTAGCTCCAGACGGAGCAAATTTTTGAAGGAAATCTGAATTGTTATGTGCAATGGCCGGCAATATTAAAGATCGAATAACTCGGGCAAGAATAAGATTAGAATTTCTTTCCTCGAGTGTAGCAACATCGTCCTATATTTCAGAACTGGGTGAACGCATCCATAGGATGAACACTACTTCTTGATTATTACGAAAAACAACAACTAAAAACAAAAAAACGAAAGACTGACACAATAAGTAAATAAGTAACTCAAAACATAAAGCCGAAAGCAAGCTTTATTATTAGCTTACAAAAAGTCACATTTTATTTTGTGGAACTCACATATATTTTCGAAGAAAATAGTGAGTGTAAGTTTTAAGTCGCAGTTTATGAGTCCCCTCCCCTCCCCAATTACAGACGTAACCGAACTTAAAGGTTAATAGTCAAAGGATGTTGGGTACGAATTCTCCCCTAGCGACTGAGGTCGGCAAGTACCAAATTCCTTTCCCATAGTTCTTTAGAAACGAGAATAGGCGCTAAAGGGCATTAACAACAAGTCGTAGACTGTTCGAAACTATTTCAAAGATTTTCTTGAAATTAAATAGCTGGAGTACGTTTTTTCACTGTTCTGTATAGTGCAGTTTCTGATTCTTGTGCTGATAACGATTATATGGTAAATTAGATATCAAAATGATAGCTACTGATGTGTTGATTTTCCACAGTTCTCATGTCACCAAAACAAAAACCATAAACTGATCAACTTCTAACTTGAGGAAATAATCAAGATCAGTGTTTTCTTAGTTTATCGAGATACATAATAGCGTGTTGAGATCTGTTGTGGATATAATGAATATGTACAACAGGTCTATCTGTCGGATAAATCGATGCTTAGAAGAATAAAAACAGTAGTAATTTCAAAAAAAGAAAAAAAGAAAACAATTTCTGTTCGAAATGCAAAAATAAATAAGGCAGATTTTTTTGTAAGATGATCTATTATCCTTGGAAAGCAACTATCGTCCGTTAGAAATTTTTCACTTCAGGTATTTTGTATGTGTATAATGAAGCTAAAGAAGATACGTGAGTTTCACATTTCAGCCTCAAAGGGGCTGCGCTAACAAGCTTTTTTATAACTTTTCAGATTTTTTTTAAACACCAACTATTGAATTTGATTCTATATACATCGCTGTACGTGCAAGCAAACAGAGCAGCGACCATTAACAATATCGCGACAAGGAATTTGGTATTCCTATCTACAAGAGCCGACATCATATGCTTTTCATTTGGCACTCGAATATCGATTTACAACATCATTAGGAGTAGAGGATGCAATTAGGCGTTTAATTCAGCAACATCCATTAATTCGAACAACATGTTTCACAGGGTCCGATCCGACAACTGCATCCGGTGCTTACGCGGTCCATGAGTCTGATTGTGCATGGGTTGTCGCCGAACAACAACGTTTGATTGAGACAGCATGGTCACTTCACACAAACTCGCACAATTTAATAAGAAAACCATTCAATCTCGAGCGACAACTTCCATTTCGACTGCACGCATGGTTTGAACCCATGCAACAATGCATGAAGTGGCTGCTGGTTGTGCATCATATCATGTGCGACGGCTATTCATTGCCCTTACTACATCAAACACTGATGGATACGGCACTTTCAGACAACCAGGCTTCATTCAAAAAGACAGACAATTCCGCTAAATCCATCAACGACGCGAAACAGTTTTGGCATCATCACATTCAAAATGTCAATTTGGATTTTCATCTGTTGTCGGATCGATTGGGGCCTAAGCCTTCTAGTGGCACAAAAGACATTCAGGTGATCGATTTTGATGCATTTCCTCAAGATACGCTGAAACAAGCAAATGAACTCGTACAAACACATAATGTCACTATTTTTTCATTATGCAGCACCGCTTTTTGGTCTGTTTTACAACACATGTCAGGCAATATGCGTAGTGCTGAACAAACAGAACCAGAAGAACAAACAACGATACCAATCGGTATGAGTTTCTTAGGGGTACGCGAACATCAATCAGGCATCCAACAAGCTTCCAATGCGTTGCCAGTCTGCTTTCGACCACGATCTGGTACTGAAACGAATTTTGGAAGGTCATCTGGGCTCCTAATACAGGAAATGCATCAAACCATTCAACTGTGCAAACGTCATGAAACATATGATGCGGTACAGTTCGCTCGGGATTTGCGACGACGCACCGGATTCTTTCGAAATGGAATCACCGTCTTGCCTTCCTTTTCTGTACCACCACATGTTGATTTGTTCAACGTTCACTTGTTTACAGAAGACGATTTGATGTTGGTCCTGTTACGCGGAAAAACACGGGAAGAATGGCGCTTGCGCTTAGTGTATCAACATCACTTGTTTACACCCACGTGGGTTCAACGACTTGGCGAAGCCATCATGTATCAAATTCAGTTATGGATCAGACAAAATCAACCTCACATTTCCATTCAGCAACAAGAACGACTATTAAAAACTCTCCAAACACCTGTATGTCTATCTATTCGACAACTTCATGTTTGGAATCTCATTCAATCCGCATCCAACATGTACGCCAAGCGCACCGCCATGATTCATGGTACTGTCGAAATAGCATATGAACGAATGATTCAGGTAACCGATCAAATCGAATTCCTCTTCCGACAACGTTCAGATACCATACGTAACACAATACAAGGCAGCGGTGTAGTGGCCATTATTGGAAACCGTTCCATTGCTTCTATTTTGTGCATGCTGGTTGCTATGAAAGTCGGATGGGTATACATGTGTGTTGATGTGGACACATTGAACATAAACCAAATCCAACATATGCTAACAGACAGTCGGTGTTGTTGTATGATGGATACACGATCGGATCGAACATCCCAAGCACTTGGTTCATTGATTGAGAATCAACTAGTCATCGATCCAGTCACCTTTCAAGCTGATTGGGCCACCAGCATTATTATTCATGACAGCGGTTCTCGAAATCCTCCAATCCAGACTCCCAAGAATGCCATTTACTTAAAATATACTTCGGGTACCACTGGAAAACCCAAAGGTATTTTTTTAACTCATGATGGTGTCGCCTCGATGCTGATGGCAACTCAAATGGATTATCAGGTGTGGCCACAAGACCGCGTGATGTTGTTTTCGAGTATCAGCTTTGATGCGTCGGTGTGGCACATTTATGCAGCACTCACCTCAGGGGCGAGTGTGGTGATTCCAACACACGGGGACATTCTAGGATGCATCAGTGAACACAAAATTACGGTGTTGGACACTACCATCGGTCGCGAATATGATGAATCCTGCAGACTATCCACATTTACGTGTATTACAGCTTGGTGCGGAGGCTTGTCCTTTGCATGTTGCTTCCAAATGGACGCAATGGTCCAAACAACATCCAGAACAAGGACTGGTGGTGTTAAACTCGTATGGTCCCACCGAGGCGGCAGTGATGACGCATATTGGAGTCTTGCAACCAGAATGGACCGAACGTGTTTCCATTGGACGCACCATTCCAAACATGAAAACATATATTTTGAATGATCGTCATGAATTAATTCTTGAAGGTGCCATTGGATCGATTTGGGTTGCTGGTCCAGGTGTATCTCCTTCGGGTTATTGGAACCGACCTGATTTGACAAGTCAGAAGTTTGCACCGAATCCGTTTGTTGCAGTACATCCCGATGCACCTACCATATATGACACAGGAGACATTGGCCGTTGGATCAGCAACACGTCACCGAATGATAATGGATATGGATGTGGCTGGATTGATTGTTTAGGACGAAAAGATTATCAAGTGAAATGGAATGGATGTCGAATCGAATTGTCATATTTGGAACATGTGGCACTTTTGTTTCGTGAACAAGATCCTAAACTATCGGAATGTTGTGCAGTTTATTATCCACCAGCAAATGAAAATGATGAGCCTGCCTGTTTGGTATTGTTTTTCACTTACCAAAGTGCGGATGATGCAACGCGACAACAGCGACAGCGACAACATACACCTGAAGACCTACTTCGCCAACATATGAAATCTCAGTTAGCGGCGTATATGATGCCTTCTCATTTCAAATACTTACCGAATGGTTTTCCACGAAACAGTAGTGACAAAATTGATCGTCATGCCTTGTCACGACCACAAATCCATCATGAGGAAACACGAAACACGGCAACAGAAACAAAAACAATAATAAAAACAGAGCAACAGCAAGAGTGGATGTCACTTGCGACTATTTGGGCAGACATCTTACATTGTTCCATCGATCACATTCAACACAATTACGAGACATTTGACTTTTTCGAACAAGGGAGTGGCTCTTCGTTGCAGTTGATTCAGCTGTTGCACAAAATCAAACAGATCTTCAATGTTCCGAACATTGCCATTGCAGATTTATATAGTTATCCCAATTTTTGGAAGCAATATCAGTACATTTGTCAACAACAAACACCCACCATACATGACTTTGAAAACGAGAAGAATGATGATGTGAAAAAGAAATCATCAACCGACAACACCGAAGTGTGTATGTATGTGGCTGGTCACAGCGGAGTGTTTCCATTTTGCGAGGGTGATTCGCACATTTCACCGACGTATGCCCTTTGGCAGCGAATGCTACAAGGACAGGTCATTTGTGCTTCTGAAAATGAAAACGAAAATGAAAATGCAAAGAATCAAATCAAAGTGTTCGGACCCTTGTCGCGGAGTTTATGGGAAACATTTTCCTACGAGACGTTTCAGATATCACGCAAAGACGCAATGTATATGGATCCACAGCATCGTTTATTAATTGAATGTACGTTTCAAGCACTTCTTCGGGCGAATCATGCCATTTCACCTGCTACACAACGAATCGGTACGTTTGTGGCCATCAATGATGCGACCACCAAGCATGAATATTTGCATCACCCTGAGATGACTGTCAAAGATCAATATCAGTTCTTAAGCAATCATATGAGTGCCACGGCTGCCACACGTTTGGCCTACACGTTTCATTTTACCGGACCCGCCATGACTATTCAAACGACTTGTTCATCGTTTGGTGCGGCGCTCGATGTGGCCGTTCAATACTTGAAATATGAGCGTTGTGATGTAGCGGTGGTTGCAACCAATTCCATACGTTTGCCGCAAGAGGGGCATTCCTGGGAAGAAGGCATGATTTTCTCTCGGTCAGGGCAATGTCGACCTTTCGAAGAACGAAGTGATGGAATCACTCTGAGTAATGCATGCGGTGTACTGATACTGGTGTCGAAACCAAGAACATGCACAATTACAGACGCGACAGAAGAAATTGAAATTGTGGCAACATATGTCAATAATGATGGTCGCCCTGACGATAAGTCTAGCTTTACGGCTCCGAGTCGAAAAGGTGAAGTCGATGCCATGGATCATGTACTGAGATTTACGACACCTGAACAATTAGCGTTTATTGAAGCACATGCAACTGGTACCGCAATTGGGGATCCCATCGAGTGTTCCTCCATTGCTCAGTCACTTCGACGCCAACGAAAAGTAAGCGATAATAACAAAACAATCATTAGTTCGATAAAAGCTCATGTTGGACATTGTGATACAGCCTCCGGGTTCATGGGAATCGTGAAGTCCGTAATGAGTTTACAACATCAATTGATTCCCAAACAACCTGACTTTGAGCAACTCAATTCGCGAATTGATTCAAACGACTTGGAGGTGTTGGAGGTAATTGGTACCGAACATCACAAAATCGCACCACATCAAACGGATGTCTTGATTAATTCCTTTGGAATTGGCGGCTCGAATGCGACCGCACTGATACGTCGTCATCCTCCCATCAAGCACAGCAACAGCATTAACAACCAAACTAGTGTTTCGAATCAGACGTGTTGGATTTTGTCTCACCAAAACGAACAACTTATGAGAGAATGGGCAGAGCGTTTGGTAACTTATTGTAACGAAGAGTGCAACCAAGCAAACAATGTGAGTACTGTATTGTACGATCGATTTCGACACATTCACCAATTATTTCCGAGTCATTTGGCGAATAAGTTGACGCAAACATACGCAATTCTTCCGATTTCGGATGCAAATGCAAAAGTCAACGTAACAGACTTGACAATGGTGCCGTCACCCTCCAAAAAAACACCTATGCACCTTGTCATATGTTTCCCGGGACAAGGTCATTTGGATGGTGAGCATATGCAGTGGATGTGGAATCACAGTGATCAGTATCGAACGCGCATGACCGACATGGTGGCTCGAATGAAAACAATGCAACAGTCACATCCTGAACTCTTGCAGCTACAGTGCGAGTTTCCTCCTTCCATCATTGAATTATTTGAACAATCGTTTCTAGCAGCAGCATCCGAATGCTTAGGACAATGGATTCATTGTGCTCATGCAGTCTCCCTTTACGATGCTTGGCAAATTGACATGCAATCACATCCGAGCGTGAAATGTTTGGGCCATAGTTTAGGTGAGTACGCTGCGCGAATCGTAAGTGAAAAATTAACCATTGACGAAGGTTTGTTGTTAATTGCGATCCGTTCCACATTGATTTCCAAATCCAAGCCAGGCATGATGCTTGCCATCAGATGCTCACGCGAACAATGGATCGAATTGCAATCCACGTTACCACTGCCGTTTCACGTCTCTATTTCCGCTGTGAATACCAACCAGCAAGTAGTGATTGCAATTTCGCACGAAGACCAATTGGAGTTTGGTCAATGGTGTCAATCTCATCAAATGAAGTACCGCGTGTTGAACACAAAAGTGGCATATCATTCGTATTTGCTGCAAGAAGTCTTGCAACAATCAGACACTCAACTTTGGTTGGAACGTTGTCGACAAGCATTTGATGAATATCAGCGACAATCAACAACTCAAATACAACAGCATGACGGAAGACTTCCGATGTTCGTCAACCCACTAAACCAAAGCATGACAAACTCATTTGATTGGATGATTGACCATCTCGTTTCAACTGTTGAATTCGAGCCGTTGATCTCCATCAATTTCGGAACAAGCAACAACAATACATCTTCCGGTACTTGTTGGATTGAATGTGGAGACGGCCCCATTCTCACGAAATGTATTCAGACGATTCTTTTTGTGAACGACACCGAAAGTCAACAGCATGTTTTTATTCACCCCTTTCAGAAAACATGGTTTCATGCTCAATGCAAGTATGCATGGATGTGTAGTGACTGGGACAGAGTGAAACTTGTAGTGGGTCAGGGTGATGAACAGCGAATGGTTTCTAGCTTTCCATTAATGCCGCTGCAGAAACCTAGCGAACCACTGATACTTCCTGAGTTTAAATTTCATATCACCGGTCCGGATAACAACAAGAAGGAAGATCTTGATAGTGAAGACGAAAACGAAAGTGCCATTCAAAGAAAAACACGCTATCGCGGTCACCGAAAAAGTTTTTCAACGTTTGCGCATCAAGACGTGCGTGATTTGTTCTTTCGTGTGTTGGGTATATCAAGTCAAGATATTAACAAGTATCCCAATGCGAATTTTGTGGATTTAGGAGGAGATTCTATATCTGCAATAGAATTGCTCTCCACATTTCGCAAACTGGCGCCTAACAGTTCATTGACCATCGGTGAATTTTTCGCCAGACCGACACTGAGCCACTTGTTAGAAGTATTTGTTGCGGCTTCCTCTCTATTAAATTTGGTTGCCCATCAACCGCCACCGATGATGGATGTCTTGTGTCGTTCATCACAAACAGTCTCGACCTCAAATTTGAATGTCATATGCTTCATTCCACCTGTGGGAGGCACGTTAACATTATATGAAGATTATGTGCGTTGGTTCCAAGCCAATCCCCAACAAACGATGAATACAGTAGTGCTTGGATGTAAATATCACATTGAATCTGGTATCGACGTTGAAACCTTGTCCGATTATTATTATCAACAGTTAATAGCAACCTTGGAGGAATTGCAAAGTGAATCTGAAACAAAGTTCACAGCAACAGAAATTAAAATTGTGGGTATTTCATATGGTGGACTTGTCGGTTATCATATGATCTATCAGATTGACAATTTTCAAAGTCATTTTTGCGCCGTCGAACTGTATTTGATTGATACGCCGACACCCAACACCTTAGTGGAGCGCAATTACCGAAACAAACCTTGGACGGAATTTGATGCATTCAAGTATACGTTCGTCGACATATTTGAACACAAGTACCCAACTGAATGTTGCGAGTCAAAATTACTACAAATTCAAAACGAAGCGGAATTAGCCAAATATGTTTGTCAGCTTTTTAATATAGAAGCAACGCAATATGAAGAACTTGCGAAACACGTACGAATTTATTTACAGGACGTTGATGCCATTCGAAAATACAATATGCAACCACCAAACAATCACAACAAATCTGTCCCAACTATATTATTTGTGTGCCAAGAACCACGTTACATGGATCCAAGACAACATGATGATGATTGGAAACGATGTATTGAAAATGAGAATGCGGATGGCAATGTACAACAATTGACTGTGGTGGCGACACCTGGCAATCATATTAGTATGAACTATGAACCGATCGTATCAGAATATATTTTGTCTCGAATTATTGCATAATCATCATTCACGCGATTCACATTTTTGATTGTTAGTTAGTTAGTTATACTCCATTACCGTTTCCACTGTAAGTGAGAATCAAAATAAAAATACAAAACAAAAAAAAACACAAAAAAAATCAATGTACATTGTTTGACGAATGTTCTGTTGATCACTACTGAAATTGAGATCAAGCTATTCATCAGAATATCACCCTCTGATACCAGATTAAATAGTACCCTTCATTCTCACAAAATTCTATTTCAATCGATGTTTAACAATCATAATTACTGCTCTGTTATTTCGTTCATTTAATTTTGTTTTTTGTACACCAGTCTTTAGCACAAGATTTAACATGTTTTGTAATTCCTTGAGGCATAAAGACTTTACCACATTCAGGATACTGGTATTTATTATTAGTGTTTTTAGTTAATATTTCTGTCACTTTTTTCTGCACTGCTCCATGTACTGCTGCCAAGTGTTTTTCTCTACGCTTATCTGCACACTGTTTGTACCCAAGTATAATGTCTTTAATATTTGGATCGATAGGTCTAGTTTGAGTATTTTGATTAATTAATTTACGCTATTGATCTCTGTCAATGGTTTGTCTTCTCCAGTTGATAATTTTCAGTACATCTATATATATAATTCTGAATTTTATCTTCTCATCTTTTTCTCATACCAATATTTCGAGGTCGCTTTTCATCTGGAAATTATGAAAACGTAATCTTTTTAACTACTGATGGTTCATCATCACTGTTCATCATCCTATTTGCATGGCCAAACCATCTCAACCTATTTCTACGAAGAATATTGTTAATCGGCTGTTGTTCAGTGATTTCTAACAACTTTTCATTCGAGATTCTATCATCAAGATTTACACCAATGATCGTACGCAGACATTCCATATAAAAACTAGTAAGTCTACATTCATGTGCACTGGTAATTGACCATGTTTCACTGCCATACAGTAAGACTGGAAGTACACAAGCATGAAAAACTTGTAATCTTGATTTAATTGAGATAGTTTTTCTGCTCCAGATTACATGTCTCAACATATTAAATGGAGTGGCAGCTTTAAACAATCTTGTAGTAATATCACTATCTGATTTCTGATCTCTGATGATATTGCAGCCTAAATACGTAAACGAATCAACAGTTTCTATCGTTTGATTACGAATTATAATATCAAAATCTGGATAGATCATTTCTTTATTCTTCAAAATATTTCTATTTTCATGCTGTTCAAACTGTTGTAATGTCATGATACATGTTTTCTTAACATTTATTGTTAATCCATATTTCTGAGTTGCTGTTTCAAAAGTTCGAATGAATGTTTTTAATTCATTAGCTGTCTCACACGTAATAACTAAATCATCTGCATATAGTAATGTCAAGATATTTAAATTTTCATAACTTTCTCGTTTACTATGATAAAAATCGTTACTAGTATACGAGAATTAGACACTATCAACACCGGCTTCATCTACAGCCTTCCTAATGATAACATTAAATAGAATATTGAACAGAATTTGTAATAGAATTCCACCTTGTCGTACTCCAGTTTCAATTGACAAACTATCAGAGAGTTCAACTTCACCTGTGATCTTTGCGTTAGAGTTCTTGTAAAGCATTTTCAAAAGGTTAACAAGTTTCTCTGAGATACCATACTTTCGACAGACTTTCCGCAGTAAATTACGATTAACAGAATCATAAGCTTTTGTAATATGAATAAACACATAAATAATGGTTTATTAAAATCTCGTCTTTGTTTCATGGTCATTTTCAATGTAAATATTTGATTGATGGTTGATTTCAGTGCTCGAAAATCAGTTTGAGCTTCCAAAAGTTGACGGTGAATCGTACTTTGAATACGGTTCACAATAATACGAGAGAATATTTTACCTGTTACATTCAGGAACGAAATTCCTCTATAATTGTTACACAGTTGTTTTTCTCCTTTTTTTGTATAATCTAATAAGAATGCTCTCTAAAAAAAAGGTGTCATAAAGAACCATAAAAGGTTCAAGCGGCTGTCTCGAACCTTTTATGGTTCTAGATTTGGGCACCTTTTTGCAGAATCTTTTTCGGAACTCACATATTAAAATGTGAGTGTAACTTTTAATCGAGATATCTGCGCCCCCCCCCCCCCCCCATTACAGACAATTGCTCTTAGTTACACACAGGCACCAGATTGAAATCTGGTTGCTATGTTTTTTTCGGGTTTTGACGCTTCGTCATCACAATTTGGGGCTCTCCTCCCCGCGTTACAGCCAAGGCCCCATTACAGACAATTGCTCTTAGTTACATAGATGGAACCAGATTGAAAATGTTTGTTTTGCTTGTTTCGCTTTTTTCAAGTTCTCACTTACAAAAAGACGTCAGTATTGTAATAAATTAGTATGTTTTTTTCATTTGGTTTGCTGTTTCAATTTTTTTCTTGGCTGTTCTATTTAATTTCTCAATATCTATCTGCAACTGATTGAAATTAGCAAATATCATGTAACCTTTTATTACGTCATCCCCTTCGAGCTCTTTGGCAGTTTTCTTCGTCTTCATGATGCATTCCAAAAGGCACTGGTGTTATTTCATCAAAATGAAAATAAATTATTCATCATAGATTAATAAGCGCACTATTTTATGTGACTTTATGACTTTAGAAAATCAAAGGTAAAATCCCTGTTACTTTAAATGTGATACCTGAGTTCCACATTTCAGTCCCAAAGAAGCTGCACTGACAAGTTTTTCTAGGTTCTATCCAAACAGTCTAGAACCTCTTTTTGTTCCGCATTGCTGGCTAAACTATTATAAGTTCTAGACTTTTTGGCTTGAACTTAAAAAATGGTTCTAAAAATGGGTACCGAAAAAGGTTCAGTATAACGCCTTTTTTTAGAGAGTAGCTAAGCTCCAATCTTGCACAATCTCTTCATTCTTCCAAAAATCAGAAAATATTTTATAGAGCCAGCGAATAACTGGTTCACCACCAGCTTTAAAGTAGATCTGCAGTCATTTCATCATTTCTAGGTACTTTCCATGACTTCATTTGAGCTAATGTACTTCTTACTTCTTCCATCGGTTGTCCAGCACCTTGTCTCTCTTCTTCTTCTTCTTCTTCTTTAGATATTGTTACTATTTGAATTTCATCAATAGGTTTTTGATCAATTGGTGATGGAACATTAAGCAATTCATCAAAGTAGTCATGCCATGGTTCTAATCGCCCTGGTAAGTTCAAAAGTAGATTGCCGTTTTTATCCTTGATCGGCATGTTTTTCACGTTTACCTTTACCACGTAAACATCTTATAATAGTGAAGGCAATTGCTGGATCGTTCCTAAGAATAGATCGTTCTATTTTCTCGCAAAGAACGGAGGTGTATAAGCACCTGTTTTGGTCCCTTTTGACTTGTCAGGCCAAACCTAATTGAATCATATATAGAACAAAAGATCATGGCCTCCGGGTCATTTTGATGCCAAAATTGAGGTATTTTATTGGATTATAAGGATAAACGGGGTCTATCCTCATCACATACAAAATGGCTAGAGTAATCATTGACACTAGTCAACAATGTTAGCACTTATTTGAAAGAAAATAAATGGAGATAAATATTGATTTATAGTTATTCTGATAGGCCTTTGTTCAGACTACATTTTCATAACAGAACTTTTTATTTAAAATAATATTTTTATTTAACTACTGCCCATTTCCAAAAAAAAGGCGGGTGGGTATTTTTTGAATAACTTTTAGTAGGAACAAGACACAGAGCTGCGGTTTTCATCATTGGAAAGAGGTTTATCCAACGCATCGATCCATATACAATTGTTGAGATTTATTTCTAGAATAACTAGTGATCCATGGTCATCTTGAAAGAATAGGGTGTTGTTCTATGAAGGTAGAATGAATTTAAAACTTTGAAGGATGGACTAGAATCGTCAGCTGACGGGCTACAAATCTACGAAAGGTCGAACTTTTTATCTCAATTCGTTTAAAAGTTATGAGGCAAACACTAACGGCATCTGGCCGATTTTTCGCCAATTTTATCTTGAACAAAATATTTTTCAAATCATCAGTACTGATGTTTTCGACCATGCCCAATCAATTAGCAATACTTATTTTGCTATAAAAGAACTCTTTTCTTATTAAAATATTATATCTAACGATCGAATGATATTGCTTTTATATGCTACTACATTGTTATCTTGGAATACATACATCATATATCACAAACACTTGTGATCACAAGCGACACGTCTACGACCGTACGTAGATTGGATCATATTTTTGATTTCTGATTTCTGTATTTTTCCCTATTGATTATATTATAATGTGATTTCAACGGTGAAAAGTTATATCTATTGTCGACATGCACTATAAATATGCCTACAGGTCATCAATTTTCTCAACACATGAAACATATATTTTTCAATGCCATCAAGCTTGTCGAAGAAGAAAAGTTTGAACCAGTAATCGCACTCTTCAATATCAATGAACGACTATCGGCTATGCTTGATATTTCTGTGAGATCTGTCGAATGATTAAAGAGCGAAATGTGTGAAATCGAACATGATATGATGGAAAGGAAGAGAAAAATGGGCGAGCAGAAAGGGGAGATGGAAAATCAAAAGATTCAAGTGCTTAGTCGGCTTCGAAAACTACGATTAAGATCATTGTCTTCGTCATCATCATCTACAATCAGCAACAACACCATGACAATCGATAATCCTGGTCCTGGCCCGCCGCGCAAACTATCAAATTCTGGTCGTTCATCACCTATTTTAACCGAACAGCAACAGGAGACTATTCGGTGAGTTTTATCGAACCGACGAATAAGATCAACATAAGCTTTATTTAGATTTCATGTTCATTCCCTTTTGGAAGAGCGAATCTACCCCACCATCAACAAAATTCTTATTTGTATTGGGGCCGAGGATGCTGATTTTCCTATTCAGTCAACGATGTCATTATGGCGGTGGATGAGAAAACTTGGACTTGTGTATAAATGAACCTCGAAAGTCATTGTTTCACTCAATATTCCCACATTTATGGCTGCGCGTGGGCGTTATTTTGCTGCCATTAATGAATTGCGTACCATTGGCGCCAAAATTTTTTGGCATGATGAAACATGGACTAATAAAAATGAAGAGAGGCATTTTGTTTGGACTGATGGAACAACTGGTATAGGTCGAATGCGACATAGTCAGAATAAAGGTAATCATCAATAATTTTTTTAAAACTCAAATGATTATTGTTTATGATTATAGGAAAACGATTAGCAATTTCTGCTCTTCTAAGTGAATCAGATTTTCATAAGCAGACAATCGATCTGTTCGAGTGTGACAAGAATCATAGCATGGACATGAGACATTTTCTGGGCTGGATTGATCGAACAGCTTCTCTTTTGAGAGAAGAGCTAGGTAAGAAAGTTTCTAACATTTCACCATGAATGTTATTATTGATATGCCCATGCCAGTATGTGAAAATTGTCTTGATTATCGATAATGCGACTTGGCATAATCAACTTACTGAAGACACCAATCCTCTGAAGAGGGCATGGCGAAAAGAACTGATCGTTCAGTGGTTGATAAATCATAAAATATCAGTTCCTGTTAAAGCCATTAAAGCCGAATTGCTGGTGCTCGCTTTCGATAATCTACCACCAAAACGTTATGTGGTAGATGAGGTAGCCAAAAACTACAATGTTGGTATTTTACGGTTAGTGGAACGCTTTCAAAATATTTTCTACATTGATAAACATATTTCTATAGGTTATCAGCCAAACATTGTATGCTCAATCCGATTGAATTAACATGGGCTGATTTGAAGAACTATGCGCATGACAAAAATGCTAACTTTAGTTTCAGTGACGTGCAGCATTTAGCCTACCAATGGATGACGTCTTTGAGTAGAACGACCACTATGGAATATATCAATGAAACACGTAAGATCGAAGGATATGTTCAAGAAGTCTGATCGATTCACAGAAGAAATCGAGGAACAGCTGATAGATGAAGATGAAGATGTCGATTCCATGACAGAAGAGGTGGACGATTGACATTACGTTTTGCTACTCTTTTTCTTTTTCTAATCGTTATCAAAAGTATGAAACCTAAGATATTATACTTGTGATCACAAGTGTTTGTGATACATGATTTATGTATTCCAAGATAACAATGTAGTAGCATATAAAAGCAATATCATTCAATCGCTAGTTATAATATTTTAATAAGAAAATAGTTCTTTTATAGCAAAATAAGTATTGCTAATTGATTGGGCATGGTCAAAAACATCAGTACTGATGATTTGAAAAATATTTTGTTCAAGATAAAATTGACGAAAAATCGGCCAGATGCCGTTAGTGTTTGCCTCATAACTTTTAAACGAATTGAGATAAAAAGTTCGACCTTTCGTAGATTTGTAGTCCATTAGCTGACGATTCTAGTCCATCCTTCAAAGTTTTAAATTCATTCTACCTTCATAGAACAGCACCCTATTCTTTCAAGACGACCATGGATCACTAGTTATTCAAGAAATAAATCTCAACAATTGTATATGGATCGATGCGCTGGATAAACCTTTTTCCAACGATGAAAACCGCAGCTCTGCATCTTGTTCCTACCAAAAGTTATTCAAAAAATACCCACCCGCCTTTTTTTTAAATGGACAGTAGTATCATTGCTTTTTGAATACGTAGATAGCTTAGTAGGTCAAGTGTTTTTCTTCAACCAATTTTTCCGGCAGCGAACGAGGATGAATATTTTTTTGTACATGACTGCGAGGAAACAGATAATAAAATTAATGTTCGTTGTTTTTAGTACGTGTCCTGATGAAACGAGTGTGATGAAAAGTGCCAATCAAAGTCAAATGCAAACACGGTGGCGACATCTAAAACGAGCGTAAGCGCAAGAAAAAACAAATAAGACAGAAATAAACCAAACCAAATATTCGTCAATACTTCGTCTATGTTTTCCGTATAAACAGTATCATATGATGGATGGTGCCACAGTAAACTCTCGATTTGACAGAAATACAAGAAATATTTCATGGAAAGAATAGAGGCGCAATATGTCGTATGGTAAAATTGTGAGAACTTGTGATAATACACTAGTTTTATTTCGGAAGAAGAATCTAACATCATGAATATTCTACATTAGTGTTCTTCTTTATTTTTTATAAATATCAGGTTTTAATTTTGAGTCTCATGTAAAGTGCATTCATTGATACCCACGACTTCGATGATTCGGTGAATCATCTGAGTTTGATCATAGACTATTTATCACTTTCTCTCGTTTCTTTCTCAAGTGATCGCTACACTGTGTGCATCAAATGAACGATAAATTTTTCGTTCCTTTGTTTCTTTTTTTGTCCGCTGTTTATCCCTTTGAGGACGGATTTTTTTTAATAGAGAAAAAGCATTTTTCAACCTTTTTATTTTATTTTCACTCAAAATGGCTACAAAAAATTGTTATGATAATCGAAAAAACAATTTTTTTCATCTTTCAAACAAAATGGCAATTTGCAAGTAAAGCACTCGATGCTGGTTCGAACATTTGTTTCCTTGGTGCTACAATAAGCACATCTTCTTCTTTTTACTTTTACAAGCAAATGCATTTCATTGTCAAAATTAAGGACCGTTTTTGGTGCTAGTTTAGACTTCTTTTCAGAAGGAGGTCTTCCACGACTTATTCGTTCACTACCAGAACAGAGAGACTTCGCCACTGAAACCATGTAGTTCAAGTATGTTAATTTATCTTGAGCTAACTGATTATAACAAATGAATGAGTTGAAAATAGATGCATTTAGAAAATAAATAAACATTCGTAGCCAGTTGCTTTTAGACTTGCGATCGAGGTTGTAGCACGATATTCTTTGACTGAGTCGATCAACTCCATGTGAAAACGGATTGTAATCTTTCACTGCTTTCGGACAGGTAATTGTAATACATTGACCATTTTTCAAACGACGGGAAATCTGAACAACTTCGTTGTCTTTATGATAATTTGAAGCCAAAAAAACGTGTTTGGTGTCCATCCATATGAAGACAATACTGTTCGATGTAATCATTGACTTGCAATCGCCTCGTTCCATTTTATTCTTCTTGGCAAAATCCGACTGAATGCCTGCCCGATCTGGTCTAATAGTTCCACAGGCTTTTATGTTCTGTAGCTTTAGCTTTTCTAATAATGTGAGAGAAGTGAAAAAGTTATCGAAATATAGATTTTTCCCTTGGAAATTATGATCAGATATAAGATCGAAAACAACACGTTCACCT